TCAAAGACACTCCTAGAAGAGTCTAGTCCTCTGAGTTCCCAAGTCCTTGCACAAAGTAGGCTTAAGGTGGAACGGAAAAGTTCCAGGTTAAAAGTGTCTCTCCTCTGGAAGCTACCAGTGTTTGGATTCCCGAGCACGTAATACCAAATCAAACTAAAAATATTAAGTTCACATGATTTATGAGAGTGATAGTGACGTATCTTGAGGCTTCTGCCAAAAACAAATTATAAATTAAAAAAGAATGCTTGTAAATAAAGCACCGAGGACCAGAAAATCCAACCTGATTAGGAAATGCAACGTTGTGATTTAATTTTAATAGAATTCCATTCAGCTTAAGGCAAACAGTGTGGGCAGATCCTGTCGAGGAGAATGAAGATGTGTGTAGGTGTAGAGCCCTTATTTGAATGAAAGGTATGCATTTGATTAGGGAAGCAGAAGCAGATGTAGCTGGAAAAGCAACGTATGGGAAACTCCGAGCTATAGCTAGGGAAGTCAGGATTCGGTGGAATAAAATAAAAAGCAGTAGAGACACGGTAAGTTCTGGTGCAGCGGTATTTCACGGTGAAAACACCCTTGGAGGGAGGAATAGGGAAGATGAATCAGTGGGAAAACTTGTACTTGAAGATGTTAAGGAGGAAGCAATAAAGCTTTTGCAGAGAAAAGCTGATGCAGTCGGTTAAGCGTCTGACTCTTGATTTTAGCCCAGGTCATGATCCCATGCTTCGTGAAATTGAGCCCCTCATGGGGGTCTGTGCTGACAGAGGGATTCTGTCTCTCCCTCTCTCTCTGCCCTACCCTGAGCTCGCAAGCGCTCTCTCTCTCTCTCTCTTCCCCCCCGCAAAAAATAAACTTAAAAAAAAAAAAAAAGGAAATACTACATTGGATCAGCGTTTTGGAAATACAGTTTTGATCCTAGTTTAGGATTAGACTAACTCATAGATACGTCACTTCAGCCCTCTCTGTGCGTAATACTCACAGCGGAAAGCAGAGGGCTGGATTCCATTAGTTTCCTGCAACATACGAATCCTAAGAGACAATTTTAGATAAAACATGGAGGAACTTTAAAATTGTTAATAGTTGTGGTTTTTCTTAATGGCCTTGTTTATGTCGGGTTACACTAGCTATGCATTGGCAGAATGATACAATCTTTAAAAAGAATCTTGACTTTTGCTTCTAGCCACAGCGTCTGGAATTACCATTCTGCCACAAAAAACCAGAACACTGGAACCCAAGTCATAACAGTTTTGAGACACTGGACATCGGGCCGCACAGGACTGTTATCACTGAAGGGAAGGACACAGATGAGGTATTCTCTATGCAAACCTTACTTTTCTGCCTACTGATCATTTCTAGATCACAGCAAAGGTAGAGGAACTCCAAGAAAGCTCAGTGGGGGTGGGGTAAAGCCACGGATGCCAGGGAGGCCACTGTGGTTGGAGAAGAACATGGGCCAGGTGCTTTGGGATCTGCACGCCCTGGGTTCTGCTCACACAGACCGTCATCCCTGGAAAACCACTTCCCAGGTGAGGAGGTGACACTCATCAAGAAGATGCATGACCACCTGACTCCCGTCCACAGCCTGCCTGGGGCCCCAGGCCGTCTGCATGGGTATCTCTTTGGAAGGCTCACTCTGATGCCCAAGTAGGACAGTCCAGAGCCCGGTAGCCTTTGAGGGGCCCCTCTGATGCCCCCTGGTGCCGGGGCTTCTGCCTGAGCCCCTCCCTGCAGCCACTGGGCAGCTTTTTCAACACCCTGGAGCCCTCTCCCAAGATATGGACCCAATGGAAACAGTAACGCCTTTGGCAACGACAACAACAATAACAACAACAAAGGAAAGAAAGAAAGAAAGAAGAAAGAAAGAAAGAAAGAAAGAAAGAAAGAAAGAAAGAAAGGAAGGGAAGGAAAGGAAAAGAAAAGAAAAAAGAAAGGAGAAGACAAAAAACTCAGGGGTTTAGCTGACTAGTGGAGGCAGAGACTGGAATTCAAGGAGAAGAACAATAAAACCTGTGAGTCAGAATACCAGAGAAAGAAGTGGAAGCCAGAGAAAGAGCTTCTGAAATAGGGGATGGCATCTCACGGAGCTCTGGCTGAATAATAATGTGCCCATGCTAAAGGCAGAATCCCACAAGAGTGGACAGAGTAAAACTTTCAGAGAAGGAACAAGTGCCAGGAAACTATAAGCAAAACAGCTTCTAGAGTGCACACAGTACCCGTAGGGATTCATTGAAATTCTCGCAGGCCAGCATGAGAGACCTTTCAGAACACCTCGGGGGTTGAGGGGGGGACGGGAATTCAGTAGAGACTTCAGAAAATAGATGTGTCAGTGGCAGGGCAGAATTTCCTTAGAGGAGAGATTGCTCTAGACTGGCCCTTAGGTGATGAAAAACAAAAAAAGCGTGTCTCGAAATAATCAGACTTAGCTGCAAACAAACTGACTGCCAAAAAATTCCTAACCCCGTCTAAAGGAATAAAAGTTAGCACTCAGTGCCTGGCAATCCAATAGCCTGGCATCCAATAGCAAATGATTCAGCATGCAATAAGGCAGGAAAATATAACCCACAGCCAGGAGAGAATCATTCCATAAAACAAACTTATAAAAGGAAAGATAATTGCGTGAACAGAAAGTATGTTGAAATAGGTCCTGAATGATGCTTACTGTGTTCAAGGATTTAAAGGAAAACATAAAAAGGGGTGCCTGGGTGGCTCAGTCGGTCGAGCGTCTGACTTCGGCTCAGGTCATGATCTCACAGTTCATGAGTCTGAGCCCCCCGTAGGGCTCTGTGCTGACAGCTCGGAGCCTGGAGCCTGCTTCACATTTTGTGTCTCCCTCTCTCTCTGCTCCTCCCCTGCTCATGCTCCATCTCTCTCTCCCTCTAAAAAAATAAATAAACATTAAAATGAAGAGAAAGACATAACATAAAGAAAGGAAAAACAGAAGATATAAAAGAGACCCAAATGGGATATCTACAGATGGAGAATAATAGTCTCCAAAATAGACAATGCACCAGCCAGGATTATGGCAGACTAGACACTGTAAGAGAGAATTTGTGGGTATGAGGACACCCACAGACACTATTTGAAATGAAGCACACAGAGGGAGGATGCTGGGGAAAAAGCACAGCTTCACTGACTTGCGGGTCAACAGCAGGTGTCTAACATACAAATTAGACACCCAGGTAAGTGAAGGTACCAACGATACTCGGACAAATGATGAACAAAACGTTTCTAAATTTGATGAAAACTGTAAATCTGCAGATCCACGAAGCCAGTTGAATTCCAAGCAGAATATACAACAAAACCACCTCAGAGTTCAAGGAACTCAAATTGCCAACACTCCATTGGTAAAAAGAAAATCTTAAAGCAGACAAAGAGAAAAAAAAGACAGTCCAAAGACACGAATATAAGACATCACAGACTTATCAGCAACTGCATGCCAGAAGGTAATGAACAGCATTTAAAAGGACCGAGGGAGTAAGAGCAAATTAGGAAGCACGTCAGTCTAAGGTTCTCTTGTCCGAAAAAAACAAGTCTTTTAGAAATGAAGGCAAAATGCCTTCACTGATCAGCCCAGCCGGAGACTCTGGGGGCCTCTCAAACTTTTCCCAAGGATATACACCCACCATTTCTCTCCCTCTCTCCCCTGGGGGGGTGGGGGTGAGGCCCCCAGGGACATACAAGTCAAAACCATGATGAGATATGCTCAACTCCTGTTGGTGGCTATAACAAAAGCAATACTAATAACAAAACAAAACAAAAGAGAAGTGTTGGCCAGGATGTGGAGAAACTGGCCCCTAACACATTGCTCGTGGGAATATAAAGTGGCACAACCTCTGTAGAAAACGGTATGGAAGTTCCTCAAAAAACTAAAAACAGAACTACTGTATGATCCAGCAATCACACTTCTGGTAGCTATTCAAAAGCATTGACATTAGGGTCTTGAAAAGATACACAGACGTCCATGGTCATCCCGATAGTATTCACAATAGCTAAGGTATGGAAACAACTTAAATGTCCGTTGACAGGTGAATGGGCACAGAAGACAGACTTCATACGTAGATATAATGGCGTATAATTCAGCCTAAATGATGGCAAAACAAAGACTCTTTCAGACAAACACTGAGAATCCATCGCTAGCAGATAGATCTGCCAAACAAATTTGAACGAAGTTCACCAGAACAAGAAAAATAAGGAAACTCTGTCAGCCCAGAGCCCGACGCGGGGCTTGAACACATGAGCCGTGAGATCATGACCTGAGTCGAAGTCGGACGCTCAACCAACTGAGCCACCCAGGCGCCCCTCAAGCTTTTAACCAAAGAGACAAAACGATGGTCACAATAATAATAATAATAACGATTTGTTATTACCATTAATAGTAGTTTACTATTGCTGATAAGAAATTTCCACAAACTTGGTGGTTTCAAAGAATATACATTTATTTTGTCACTCTGGCTGTGGGTCTGGGTATGGCACAGCTAGTCCCCTGCAGCTCAGGGTGTCTCCCGGGGCTGCAAATGAGGGGTGGCCAGCCTTCTCTCTCAACTGGAAGATTTACCGGGGGATTCGCGGGCTTTTGAGTTCATCCAGGATGTAGATGTAATTGATCTCACAGCTGTATGATTGAGAATCTGGTTGTTTGCTGGTTATCTGCTATAGGCACAGATCCTAGAGGTCGTGTAGGCCTCCTCCACATATCAGTCCTCTTCATCAAACCAACAAGGGAGATCTCTTCTGCAGTCTACTTGATGGATTCTCCTATAATATGATGCAATCAGGAGTTGACGTCCTTTGCCATAAACGTGATCCAAACAAGGGTGTGACGCCATTACCTTTGCCAATTCTGTTGGCCAGAACCAAGTCTCAAGGGCGTCCCACGCTCAAGGGGAGAGGGTTACACCAACACACCGGCACTAGGAGGCGAAAATCATTGGAGCGGTCACCTTAGGGTCTGGGCGCCACAGTATTATTTTAAGAATCCACTTGCTTAGAGAAAGAGAAGCTATTTAATTTTGCAAACATCCGTCCATCAGTCTAATAAGGTCTTGGTAAATTTCCTGCGGTGCGTCCTGTCCAAGGTAAAAATCCACATGATTGTAGTGTGGAATCAACTTATAGTAAATAAGCCTGGGAATTTGGGGCAGTAAATTCTCAACGTCCTTGAGGTCAGCCACACGGTCGTGTCCTCCGCTCCACACAGCTGTGGGCACTTGCATCTTGGTCACGTTGTACAAGGGAGGTGTGAGCTAAGTATGATTAGAGACGGAGAGAAAAAACCAGATTTCGCAGAAAACCACATCGGGGGAGTAACCTTATCGATTGTTAAGCAAGTTCTTCAAATGCTAAAAGTATGCAGTTAGAATGCACTTAATGATTTCCAAACATTAAAATGTTAGAAGGGCTCGAGAGCACTTCTGTGCAATGGTATGAACTGTGAATAAAGAAAAAAATAACCGTGATATTTCTGATTTGCATGTTGGGGAAAATAGGAAAGAATCCTCGAGGAAGGGGGCTCTTATTTCTATGGGGGACCATCTTTCTTTCTTTAAAAAAACTTTTTTAAAGTACATTTATTTTGAGTAGGGGGGATGGTCAGAGAGAGAGAGAGAGAGAGAGAGAGAGAGAGAGAGAGAATCCCAAACAGGCTCCATACTGTCAGCACAAAGCCTGACATGAGACTTGATTCCATGAACCATGAGATCATGACCTGAGCTGAAATCAAGAGTCGGTTGTTTAACTGTCTGAACCACCCAAGGCACCCTTATGGGTGACCATCTTTCTAGTAGGGCTTGGCACTCGGAGTATGTCCTTTTGAAACAATATATATGTGTGTGTGTGTGTATATATATATACACACACACACACACACACATATATATATATATATATATATGTATAGGATAAATGTAAATACCTCTTCTCTGGTGCAGAAATCTGGGCTTGGGGGGATTATTGACACTTGAGCAGACTCTTTGGGGAGCATTGAGACCAATGGATGAAAACAGTTGAAGTATGACGTGAACAAGGAGCCAGCCTGTTCCAGAGAACGTGATGTCTTTTCCCTTCTCTCTGCGATCCAACAAATCCCATCCCCCAGCTCCTCAGTGGCCCCGGATGACCCGGCCTGGCCAATCAGTCCTTCATCCCTCTGGCCTCAGTGACTGGATGAGAGATGGGCACGTGGCTAAAACCGGGCCAGAGTTCTCTCTGGAACTTTCTGCCAGTGCTCCTGAGAAAAATACTGGCTTTTTCTTCGGGTTTGTGGTGGAAAGAACGATACGAGTTGAGCACACGCAGTCACGATCTTACTATTTTTGAAATAGCCTGAGAAGGGAAAGAGCATTTGTGAGCAGAACTGGGAGAGAGAGGGAGGGGCACAGGGAGAAGGAGAGCCCGGAGGACAGCGTTCCGGTTCCCAGCCATTGTGAGTTGATCACCACCCTGTTCAGTACAGTAAAGCAGTAAATAGATTTTTTTTAAACCTAATGTCACGTTGTCTCCTGCCATGCACAACTGAGAGAATACGGACTGCCACCATATTCCAGGGACCGAATTGTGTTTTCCCCAAATTTGGATGTTGAAACCTTAACCTCTAATTTGACTGTATGAGGAAGTAAGGCTGTTAGGAGGTAATTGGGGTTAAATGCAGTCATAAGGGCCAGGTCCTAATTAAGTAGGACTGGCAGTCTATAGGAAGGGGAAGAGAGAGATCTCTCTCTCTCTCCAAGCGCACTCGCAGAAGAAAGGGTACGTGAGCACGTGACAAGAAGGTGACTGTCTACAAGCCAGAAAGGGGCTCCTCCCCAGAGCCCCACCAGCTGGACACTGACCTTGGACATCCAGCTTCCAGAATGTGAGAAATAGATTTCTGTGGTTTAAGCCACTCAGTCTATGGTCATTCTTTTTTTTTTTTTTTTTTTTATGGCATCCTGAGCAGATTTCTACACTGTTGTTAACAATTTTTGGCAGCAAGGTTAGGAAGAAAAGGTAACGTGGACAAAGACGCAGATCCTTGGGAAACTGTAACCTTGGCCAGGGAGAGGTTTCCTAAATTAGTAATGTACCCGATGACTTGGTTTGGGGGGGGGGGGCTGACTTGGGGACTGTGCACCTTCAGTTCTCTCTGCAGGGCGATATACAAGCAGAGATCACAGGCTCGATCATTACAGAAGTTACTGTTAGTCGATGGGTTGGTGTCCGGGTCTTAGAGTTACTGAATATCTTAAGTATGTCGCCTGTCCCCTATCTTGCTGGGAGACCGTGGCCCTGGGCTTAGGAGCAAGTGATAAAGGAGGAGGTGAGAAGGCAGCGACAAGGCAGGGAGGCCAGTGAGCACAGATCAGGGCTCACAGTGGTGCTTTAAGGGCTGGGGAGAGCCCGCGCAACGCCCCAAAGGCCAAGAGCAAACTGGGGCAAGAGGAGGCATGCTTTTCCCGACTCTGGGTTTCTCAGCGGGATAATACAAAGCATAAATACTTAGATGCAAAGATGGAGAAAGTTAAAGAGTAGAAAGACAGCTGTAAATATTAGCAAGCTTCGTGGCAGGAGAGTGGGGTTGAGGAGCCCCTGAAATCAGAACACATTTACCGCAATGATTTAGGATGCTGTGGAGGATGAAAGGAAGCTCAGAAGAAGGCAGAGCCAAAAATGAATATGCAAATCAGGATGCAAATGAGACATGCTGACTTTGGGCCAAGATTTTTTTTACTTAGTAATGAAGGTTTGGTGATTACACTGATAATTATGCCCGTCTTATTTACGGTCATTGCTCATAGTTGTGACAAAGGTTATTGCTTTTCACACATACATGTTGTTCACCCTCAGCTTGTTTGGGGTTTTCCATTTCTTTCCCAAGGTCCCAAGCAAACGATTCATGTGTGAACTTGAATCACCATGTATCCTGAAGATGGGAAAGATCATCCCTGTGACACAGCTCTCATCCAAGTTGACGTTTAACTCTCACAAGGTAAACTCCTCATCCAAGACTCTTTCCTTTTAGCAACTATCTACTCTTGCTAGGGTAAGAAATTGGTTACTCACAAGACAAATTGGGACTTTGACATAGTATGTGGGTCTGTGTGTGGCAAGCAGCCTAGGAGAAAACTATAGCAGTTTGGGAGGAAAATCAGATTCTTCACTCCAGCTGAAATTATGTATCTTCTCTATCGCAGTTACTACGGTGGCACTGAAAATCTGCTTTTTTGAAAAATTTCCAAATTTCCATACCCCTTATTTGAAAAACTCATGTATCTTTGATGGCCACTTGTGTAACCTGAGTTCCCTCTATCAGCAGGAAGCCAAAATCATGTATGGATTTTCTTATAAACACTGGGAAAAATAACAACAAATAAAACACCACGTATTTCCATTCAGTAGAGAACTTTGGTTTTAAAAGTTTTCATAGATTATGTCAAGAAATATCTTGACATACCACTCTCTGGCAGATAGCAGTACTTCTTCCTAAAAGTGATATTTCTGTCTAGTGTATCTTTAATGATATATATACGTATACATATACATATATATACATACACATATACATATATATACATACATATACACACACACACATATATATATATATATATATATATATATACACACACACACACACATATGTTAAATGAGCAGTAATTGTCATTCCAAAGAACTAATAGGGCAGTGTTAGTTCATTTTATAATAGATGGGTAAGAAATGAGAGCATATGTTCCAGAAACAAAGATTACATATCTTTAATTCTCCTTTTAAAATTTTTTTTTTCAACATTTATTTATTTTTGGGATAGAGAGAGACAGAGCATGAACGGGGGAGGGGCAGAGAGAGAGGGAGACACAGAATCCGAAACAGGCTCCAGGCTCTGAGCCATCAGCCCAGAGCCCGACGCGGGGCTCGAACTCACGGACCGCGAGATCGTGACCTGGCTGAAGTCGGACGCTTAACCAACTGTGCCACCCAGGCGCCCCTAATTCTCCTTTTAAAATATGGTCTTGGGGTGCCTGGACAGCTCAGTCAGTTAAGTGCCTGACTCTTGATTTCGGCACAGGTCACGATCTCATGGCTTGTGAGTTCGAGCCCAAAGTCCGGCTTTGCGCTGACAGTGTGGAGCCTGCTTGGGATTCTCTTTCCATCTCTCCCTCTGCCTCTCTCTCTCTCTCTCTCTCTCAAAATAAGTAAATAAATGTTAAGAAAAACATGGTTTTAATTAAGTGCTGAGAGTGTCTACTTTTTTTGATGTTTATTTATTTATTTTGAGAGAGAGAGAGAGAGAGAGAGAGAGAACTGGGGAGGGGCAGAAAGAGAAAGAGAGAATTCCAAGCTGCTACCTCGGGGCCCGACATAGGGTTCCATCTCACGAACTGTTAGATCATGACCTGAGCTGAAAGAGTTGAATGCTTAGTCGACTGAGCAACCCAGGTACCCCAAGAGTTTCTACTTTTTGAGAAGGAATAAGTAGGGCTATAAAATCCAGGAACCCCTGAGTCATATCCTGGTTCATTACTAAGCTAAATAATTTTGACAATTTACCTAACCTCTCTGAGCCTCTGCAAACGTGGAGGCAATCATATTTACCTTGTAAGGTCATTGTAAGGATCAAAACTAATATGGAAACACTAAATTTTTTTTTAAATAAGGGGTGCCTGGGTGGCTCAGTCAGTTGAAGGTCCGACTTTGGCTGTGGTCATGATCTCGTGGTTCGTGGGTTCGAGCCCCGCGTCGGGCTGTGTGCTGACGGCTCAGAGCCTAGATCCTGCTTCAGATTCTGTGTGTGTGTCTCTCTCTCTGCCCCTCCCAGTTGTCTCTCTCTCAAAATATAAAACATTAAAAAATTTAGAAATAATGGTATGGAACATGGTAAGAAACCAATAAGTGGAATCTGATCTATATAAAATATGTGGCATAGTGTTGGAACCTAGCAGGTACTTAGTGAGTGGAGACTGATGACCACGGTCATCCATGTACCTGGTGAAAGTGCATCATGTTCTCATCAGGGTTTCCCCAGTCAAAAGCTTGGAACAGACCAGAATTAGCAGCCTATGATAAAATAGAAATAAAAACACATTACGATGATATAAGAAAACAACACGCATTTAAAGACCGTAAACAGAGGCACGCCTGGGTGGCTCAGTCAGTTGAGGGTCCGACTTCAGCTCAGGTCATGGTCTCATGGTTTGTGTGTTCAAGTCCCAAGCCGGGCTCTGGGCTGACAGCTCAGAGCCTGGAACCTGCTTCGGATTCTGTCTCCCTCTCTCTCTGCGCCCCCCCCCCCACACTCTCTCTCTCTCTGTCTCAAAAAATAAGTAAACATTAAAATAAATAAAGACAGTAAACAGAAAATATACAAAGAGGATGACATTACATCCCACTCTTTAGGCACAAGAGCTAAAGTCCAGTAAAGATTAATAAGCCGGATAATAAGACTGATACGAGTCGATAGAGTAATTCACAGAACTGACTGACTGTCTTTTACTCTCCTCTATACCTCTCCAGTGAAAATTCTCAGATAGCAATGTGTTTATTTTTTTAAGTTTATTTGTTTATTGAGAGGGAGAGGGAGGGAGAGAATGAGTAGGGGAGGGGCAGAGAGAGAGAGAGAGAGAGAGAATCCCAAGCAGGCTCCGTGCTATCAGCGCAGACCCCGACACGGGGCTGGAACTCATGAACTGTGAGATCATGACCATGACGTGAGCTGAAACCAAGTCAGACGCGGAACCGACTGCACCACCGAGGCGCCCTGACGACAACGTCTTCAGGTGTTATAACACTCTACAGAGGAATGTCTACAAGGATGCTGCGATTGAATGATTCTTGACCATCTTAGCTTCAGGAATTGTCATAATTTTTTTGCAAGAGGCACCAGCTGTTCATCGACATTGAAAAGTGACTGATGTTTTCCTACACAGCTGTGTCCAGTATCCCTGTCAGGGTGTCGTCACTACGTTCCCTGTTCTTGAACACTTTTTGTTGCTCCTGAAGGGAACGTGCACGCGGAGTAGCTTCAGCGCTTCCCGTGTGAGGGGCTCTGTCCCCCCAGCAGCCAGCCGTGTCGTCAGGAGCGGGACCACATGCTGAGTGTCTGAGACACCGGGCACATGTTCAGACTTCCGCTACGAGAATGGAAATGGCCATACACCTGCACGCCTGGGGCTTCCTTCTTCTGTGACTTGCCACCCACGCTGGACCGAGGAAGGAGGTCACGTTCACGTTCACCTCGCATGTTCCAGTAGGCGATTCTCAGTCTGTCCCACGGTTTTTGTTTTTGTTTTTGTTTTTTTCCCTGAACTTGAATCTCAGAGATTTTTTTTCACACTCATTGATTTAATCCTGATGCTTCGTTTAAAATTATTCCCATCATGCTCTCTATTGACAGAGGCGGTCCGCCGCGGTCGGTTTTCAGCAATGGGAAGCAGCAGCGTGGGCTCCTTAGGTACCTGGGTTCTAGCAGCAAACAGACCTGGTCTCAGTCCAGGCTTAACGGATTATTGAATGTGTCATCCACGGCAAGTTACGTATCTCCCCTAATTCCCGTCTGTGAAATGGGAATGATAACATTCTCCTCATAGTGAAGATTCAACTGGGTGATGCATTAAACAGGGTGCTAGGGTGTAGCACCTAGAAATGCTCAACAAACCTCTTTTTACTAACATTACTACTCTCGTCATTGTCGTCACCCTTGCCGTAGCCGTCCGCATAACTTATGACCAAGTGTCTCACCTCATCCCCCTCCCCACCCCCCTGACTTATTTCTGTCCTCAAGAGGACTTTCTGCCACAGGAGAAGAGATCTTTTTAAGAGCAGTGAGCTGTGAGACACGTAAGGGACGGGCCAGGACATTTGTAGCATAAGGGGTATCGATGCCTTCGTGGAAAGACTGTTAAGAGAATTCAGTGAGACTGAAGGAAATCACACGTACAAACAGCAAGGACACATAGTAAGTGCTCAGGGAAAGTGAAATTGGAGTTGTGTTACCCACCACAGACCCTCTCTGTCTCCTCACCGGGGGGGGGGGGAGACATTCTGTCCTGAGCATCTTTCTTCCGGCAGGAACTTGAGGGCTTATCTCCTGGGCGTGGAACTCTTCAAAGGAGTTCAGAAGTCCTCAACTAGTGTTTCAGGCTATCTACAGCAGTGATTCTCAACCGTAAAGCATGGAGCAAACTTACCGGGGTGGAGGTGAAAGCGTAAACTCGTAGGGATCTCGGATATGTCAAAACTTTGGGAAGACCCTTCTCTCTCCCCCCCTCCCCCCATACACGCACACACACTCATCACACTAGGTTCAGAAAGCTGGGCCAATTGAATATGACTTCTCCCTGAACTTGCTGAATATTGAGCAATACGGTAGCACACACACAAATTTAAACTGAGAGTGAAAACAGAAACCGTTAATCTATTTTCATCTCTATCTCATACTTCACTTGCGCAGAGTAGAGCATTATTTCCACACTCTGAAATGGCCCATTCGCCAATAGGAGGATGCGCAGATCTTTCCGGAATAGCTCTATCATGTTATATAAAGTTCTGTTAGAACGGATGGTTTCCCAAAAGAGGAAGTACAAACCTTCCCTAGAAAAGGCAGTTGGGAGTAATCCAAAAATCAGAGTTCAGTCCGAATAGGTGGGAACCAGGCCCAAACACCAGAAACCGAGGACACAGAGAACAGAAGAGAGAACGGGGAATGAACACGAGTCGATGCTGATTTCGGAAGCATCCACCTGACAGAGGCAGGTGCCTGAAAAACCCCGCGATGGGCTCTGGGAGTCCTCCTCAGGGCTCTCGGGGCGATGTGTGTGCATCAGACCAGGAGTAGGGAGCACGTACCTGGGCCCAGTGCAGCATGGTCTGCACAGATGTTCCCGCAGAGCTCTGTGCCAAATAAACATCCAAGCGACTCTGCAAAGTGGAGATTATTTCTCACCAGGAGGCTAATCATTTGACCACACCGCAAGTAAACTTGAATATTCTCTTTCTCTCTCTGGGGAATGAACATGGACCATGCCCGCTTTAAGAACTTTCTCCTCCCGTAGCTCTGTTCTGTCCTGTACAGTTTTCATAAAGCCCACAGAGGCCATCCCGCCGGTCAAAGACACGAACATGCCTTTTCTCTCCCGCCTCACCTCAGATGGCCCAAGAGTACAGGGGGGTTGAGGGTGTGAGAGCCCCAGTGACCTTCGTCACCCTGTGTTAAGTCCCAAAGGACATTCTGAGAGAGTTGTTCATCGTGAGACATTGAGAAAAGATCTAAATGTTTCCTTTGCCTTCTGATTTTAAAAACATAGTGAGTATTCCACAGGGCTCTCTGAAAGTTTGTGGAACATAATCCATCCAGGATTGTAACCTCCACTGACATTTAGACTTTTTTCCGGATTAAAAAAAAAAAACAAAACTTGATAGTTTTCATTGCCATTTTTTTTTTTTTTTTTTTTTTTTTTTTACATTTTAGTATACAAAACGGTTATTTTGCCACCAAAGTGAGCACAGAAAGAGCATGGAGCTTTTAAAAAAAACACTACCCCTCATGAGCTAGCCAAACCTACTGAATCAATATCAAAATCTCCAGGGTTGACTCCTGGACATGTGTATTCCTTCAAAGTTCCACAAACTCTACTCAGACATCCCAGGATATCCTCCACTAAAATAGACATCCTTGCAGAGATTCCATAGGCCGGTCCCCAACAGTTAAAAAAAAGGGGGGGGGGCAATTTGACTGTATAAATGTACAACGAGGGCCCTCAGTGAATGTTCTAGAGGGTCCTGTCAGGAAGTCTTCCTCTGGCAAACTCTTAAGCCATGTCGAGAAGATGCTTTTGAAATTATCCCTCTTGTGTTTGCTTACAGCTCCTTGCCAGCTCTGCCTACATGATAGGCTACCATCTAAGCGATAGGCACGTGCAATCCCCTCGGTAAACGGAGAAAACAGAAAAGGAGTGTGAAAAGGCAGGGGTTAAGGCATGCTTTGCATAAACGGCTATTTATACATCTTGTCTGAAAGCAAGAAAAGTGTTTAATCGGTGCTCTCCAGTAACAGAGGGAGACTAGGCTCTGGGCGGAAATCTGTGAGATAGTCGGAGACCATTTTCAACTATGTCCTGCTTCTGGTTTCAAAGATACCTCCTCTCTGGCTGGGGAGTGAACAGTAGCTTTCCGTCTTCCACCTCCCCCCTAGTCAGCTCATGGTGACTAAAGAAGAAAAGGATTTCAGCTGGAGAGGACTCCCCAAGAAACCCAACTGATCCCTCTCAGTGTCCCTTCAACTGTGAATCTGTAGCTATCATTGGAAAGCCATCCCTTAATCCCAACGGATTAAAGAAGTCAGTGGTTCACAAAATGACTATTTCTAGATCACCTATGAAAGTGGAAATTGGTTTAAAAATTACAGATGCTTGGGCATACTGAAATTCTACTTCAGTAGGTCTGAGATAGGCAGACCTCAGGCACAGCGAGATAAATTTCAAAACCATAGTCTTCATGTCAGTGGAGGACCTTTCCAATGGCGGCGCTTTGGCCAACGGCAAGGGTTGGTGAGAATGTTCGGTGGCAAAGCCTTCTCAAATCCTCCTACTAAAGCAGGTGGAACCGCCTCCCGCCCCCCAGCTTCAGTCGGAAGCCATCAACATATAATTTCAAATCAGGAGACAAAAAGGAGACCTTGAGATGTGGCTTTCGTGCAATTCAGAGCACATTCTCCTCTCCTCTGTGCAACAAAATAATTGCTTTTCTGGATCCGACTACTTACACGTACCATGTTTAAGTTTTTTGGGTCAAATCCACTCAAAGTAAACAGGAAGTTGCTGCAGAGATGACGGAATAGCTTCCGGTTGCATACCTTGGTGGCAATGAATTGGTCAAAAAAGGTATGAGGGTAGAACATCTTGTCACCAAATAACGCCTGCAAGATCAATTTGAGATGCCATCAGATTTCATGGATGTGGATGTCAAAAGTGGAAAGTGAGTGGTCATTCAGCCAAGGACCGGACAGAGGTGATATCTGCTCAGTGCTAGTCCTCAGTAAAATGGAAAGGCCTGGTACATTTTGTTTTTGGTTCTCCCAACCCACCTTTGTGGTCTTCTCAACACATCTCATGATTCCCTTTCCCAAGGTCCTCTACTTGGGGTGTTTTTCAGAATGCCCTCTGAGAAATTAGCCACCGTAGGAAATTGATAAGGCTTTGGAGTCACAGATACCTTGGTTTGATTCTGGACTCTGTCTTTGCACCTTAAGGAAGTATTTAATTTCTATTATCCTGAACTTTCTCGATGATAAAATAAAAAATTAACATGCTGGGGCGCCTGGGTGGCGCAGTCAGTTAAGCGTCCGACTTCAGCCAGGTCACGATCTCGCGGTCCGTGAGTTCGAGCCCCGCGTCAGGCTCTGGGCTGATGGCTCAGAGCCTGGAGCCTGTTTCCGATTCTGTGTCTCCCTCTCTCTCTGCCCCTCCCCCGTTCATGCTCTGTCTCTCTCTGTCCCAAAAATAAATAAACGTTGAAAAAAAAAAATTAAAAAAAAAAAAATTAACATGCTATGTTGTGAAGGACTGTTGTCAAGATAATAAGTCATGTTTAAAAGGTACCTACTGAATCTTCTAGAACCTAGTAAACATTCCCCAAACAATAGCTATTATTACAAGTAGTGAATGATATAGACTTAATGAGCCATTCCTTCCAGAATCTTTTAGTAAACACTTCCAGAGGCAAAACTTAATCGCCCTAAAATGAATCTTTACTAGTGAAATTTCAGGCAATGTTGCCAGTGAGTTGAATTTACTTTTTGAACTCTAGGAATCACTTCAAATTAGAACATACATTCATATCAAACTCCTGTGCATATAAGACAAATCTTACCTTTGCTTCACAAAAACTAGTTTTATAATCTTAGGATAATGAACTAGATATGAGGATGAAAAAGTATCTTTTAATTCTTTTGGAAACATCCATTTACAGTAAAACAAAACAAAACAAAACAAACCTCGCTTATCTTTTTCCTGGAATCCTTTATTGACTGGTGATTACAACAATCAATTAGATTAGATTAGAACAATAATAACTAGCATTTATTTTTATTGCGTTAGTGCACGATAAGATCTCAGGCTATCTTTGGTAAACTCGATCCGGTGAATTCCTCCTGGGTAGAGTTGGTTGAATTCTGAATTTGAAAAGTGGTTATTTTATATGACCAAAGGTAATCTTCATTTAATGGAATATTTGATATCCCATGGAATATTTTTTTTTTCAACGTTTATTTATTTTGGGGACAGAGAGAGACAGAGCATGAACGGGGGAGGGGCAGAGAGAGAGAGAGACACAGAATCGGAAACAGGCTCCAGGCTCTGAGCCATCAGCCCAGAGCCCGACGCGGGGCTCGAACTCACGGAGCGCGAGATCGTGACCTGGCTGAAGTCGGACGCGCAACGGACTGCGCCACCCAGGCGCCCCTACCATGGAATATTAATGAATCTATGACACACCGTGACTTTATCTACCCCTTCCTATGGGAGAGGGGGAGGGAGGAAGGGAAAAAAAAAGAGGCTATAATTGTTAAGCTAGTTCAAATCATATTTCTTTAGGTCGGGAAGGCAGTAATTAACCATGGCAGACATTATCTAATTCATTCTGGCCTCTTATTCATTTTGTCTCAATCACTGGGACACTTGAACAATATATTAGATAATTTATTAAGCCACTTATCAAATTGTAACTCTTCCTGTGTAACTGTCTACATGGTAATTAGTAGTAGCCACAGACACATAGAGAGAACTTTTTTTTGTTTTGTTTTTAAAGAATGGTTTCTTAAAAAAAAAAAAAAAAAAAAAGACTTTATTTTTAAGTAATATTTACACCCGGGGCACCCGGGTGGGCTCGGTCGGTTAAGCATCCGACTCTTGATTTTGCTCAGTCGTGCTCTCGCATTTGTGAGTTCAAGCCCCGCATTGGGCTCTGTGCTGACAACGACTCTCTCTCCCTCTCTATCTGCCCCTTCCCTGCTTGCTCTCTATTTCTCAATCAAAATAAAGAAAAATAAACTTAAAACAAAGTAATATGTACACATGGGGCTCAAACTTAAACCCTGAGATCAAGAGTCACGCGTCCTACCGACTGAGCCAGCCAGGTGCCCCTGAACTTATCTCTGAAAAGAACGTTTTCATCTATTCTGTTCTCAAGTGCAATAATCTAAATGGAGTGGCTGGCACATGAATAAGTAGTGAAGGTAGGAAGCAGGGTCTGGTTTTCACCAGTGAACATTTTTCTTTTTCTTTTTAACATTAAAAAAAATTTTTATAGTGTATTTGTTTATCTGGAGAGAGACAGCAACAGTGCGACCAGCACAGAGCCCAATAGGGAGCTCAAACTCACAAAACCACGCGATCGTGACCCGAGCTGAAATTAAGAGTCCACTGCTTACCCGACGGAGCCACCCAGGCCTCCCCTAACATTTTTCGTTTTCCACGACCAATATCTTCATCATCCACCCTTGGCAGAAACTCCGTATGAAAAGGAAGTACCAGTTCAGAGAAGTGAGCAACCGTGGAAGCATGATGGGAAGAAAGAGGTTAGGGGCACCTGGGTGACTCAGTCGGCTAAGCGTCTGACTCTTGATTTCACCTCAAGTCATGACGTCCCGGTTTGTGAGATGGAGACCCAAGTCGGGCTGTGCGCAGACAGCGTGGAGCCTGCTTGGGATTCTCTCTCTCTCTGACCCTCCCCCATTCACATGCACTCTCTCTCTCTCTCCCTCTCTGTGTCTCAAAATTAAATAAACATTCAAAAAGAAGAAGAAAGAGGTTCCATCTGCCATAAAAGACCCTTGTTCTTTATTCTGACAGCCGGTATTTCCAAATACTGGGTGAATTAGCATGGCAGTCGCTGACTTTACCTCTACACCCATGCAGGAGTGACTCAGCAAAACGGTCATATATTTACCCAGGGACAAATAACTGCCCCTTCCCCCTAATCTAAAAAGAGAGGAGAGTAACGCAGGCCAGCCAGCCACATAGCGCCCATTTGTATAGCGTGGTAAACGTGGCTTGTAGAATGTAATTCCAAGTTCATTCTGGAGGGGGCGTGTGTGTCCCATAACAGCACAAGATTCTTCAATTTGCTCTTTCGGTAACTGGGTGAATTTAAAAGGGCACCACTTCTTTTGGGTACATGGCACCATGCCAGGTCACATGACTTGCCAAGCCGACCATGGGCTGGATGCAGCTGTCCGTGGCTTGCCGAGCGGGGCACCCTAAGGATCCCGGACTGACTTCTTCAGGCTGGCATTGAAAAGGTGGGGGAAAGAACTACACAGAAGAAAGAGCACCCACCATCGATGACCTGGTCAGATCTGGGTTCAAGTTCTGGTTCTGTCACCCACTAGCTGGGTCATTCGGGACAGGCTGCTTAGCCTCTTTGAGCCTCACAGTTTTCTTTTAAGAAACGAAGACAATACTAACAATGCTCACTGTTTAAACAACATGTAAGGAGCAAATGGTCGAAGCAAGCAAGATACAAGAACACGTAAATGCCCGGGGACCAGACAAGGGGCGGGAGCGAAGGAGGGGATAAACAACTGGCAAACAGGAAATCTGAAACGCCAAGTGCTGTGGCTTTGAATCCAAAATAAACTCAATGAATACTACTAGATAATACCTAGTGAATACCTGCTGTAGGCCTGGTACTATGCTTAAACATGTATCATCTCAGTGAATCTCCCAAACAACTTGACAAATTTTTACCCATTTTTTTACTCATTCATCCGTGCATGCGTGCATTCATTCATTCACTTTCAACTTTATTGAGGAATAATTGATGCCATAAGACACTAAATATCTTATAAACGAAAGTTTGTACACTTTGACCTACATTTCCCCATTTCTCCTTCCTCCAGCCCCTCGTAGCCACCATTCTATTCCCCTTTTCTAAGATATTGGCTTTTTAATATCAGATTCTACATATAAGTGATTCAGTATAGTATTTGTTTTTCTCCGTCTGGCTTATTGCATTTGGTGTTATGCCCCCCAGTTTCACCCATGTTGCAAATGGCTGTATTTCCTTACTTTCTTTTGGCTCTTTAATACTCTTTAAAATTTTCCCATTTTCATTTGTTGACAAATCTCTACACTGTTTTCCATAAGGGTTATACTAATTTACATTTCCACCAGCAGTGTATAAGGGCTCCCTTTTCTCAACATCCTTGCCAACATTTGTTATTTCTTGTCTTTTTGACAATAGCCATTCTAGAGGTGACTGGGTGGCTCAGTTGGTTAAGTGCCTTACTCGATTTCAGCTCAGGTCATTATCTCAGGCTTCATGAGTTCAAGACCCGCATCTGGCTCTTGGTTGGTAGCTTGGAGCCTGCTTGGAATTCTGTTTCCCTGTCTCTCTGCCCCTCCCCCGCTCATGATCTCTCTCTCTCTCTCTCTCTCTCTCTCTCTCTCCCTCTCTCTCTCTCAAAAATAAACATTAAAAAAGATAATAGCCATTCTAACAGGTAGGAGGTAATACTCCATTGTGGTTTTGATTTGCATTCCCTGATGGTGAGTGATGTTGAACATCTTTCCATGCACCTATTGGCCATTTGCATGCCTTCTTTGGGAAAATGCCCTTTTTAAAATTGGATTACTTGTTTTTCTGCTATTGAATTGTATGAGCTTTTTATATATTTTGGTTATTAATCCCTTATCAGATACATGGTTTGCAAATATTTTCTCCTATTCTGTAGGTGGCATTTTCAACATATTGAAATGTTCCCTTTGCTGTGCAGAGGCTTTTTAGTTAGTCCCATTTGTTTATTTTTGCCTTTATTGCCTGTTCTTTTGCTGTCTTATCCAGAAAATCATTGGCCAAGACCAAGGTCAAGGAGCGTTTTCCCTATGTTGTCTTCTAGGAGCTTTATGATTTCAAGTCTTAAATGTAAGTTTTTAATCCATTTCAAGTTAATTTTTGTGAGTGGTATAACGTAAGGGTTCAGCCTCATTCTTTTGCACGTGGCTATCCAGTTATCCAAACACCATGTACTGAAGAGACCATCTTTCCCCCACTGTGTCCACAGCACCCTTGTCAAAATTTAGTTGACAATAGGAGTGGATTTCCTTCTGGATCCCTAACACACTGCTCTATGTACCTGTTTTTATGCTAGTACAATACTGTTTTTATTACTATAGCTTTGCAATATAGTTTGAACTCAGGAAGTGTGATGCCTTCACTTTAGTTCTACTTTCATAAGATTGGTTGGGCTATTTGGGGTCTTTGTATTTCCACGCAAATTTTAGGATAGGGTTTTTTTTTTTTTTTTCTATTTCTGTGAAAAATACCATTGGAATTTTGATAGGGACTGCACCGAATCTACAATTCACTTTGGGCTGTATGGACATATTAATGGTATTAATCCTTCCAATTTGTGAACATAGGTTATCTTTTCATTTATCTGTGTCTTTCTGGGTTGTATCAATATAGAATTGAATTACCATGGGCTAATTTAATTATTTCTCACAAACCCAAATCTCTGGCTTCCGTAAAGATTATCTGACTTTTATCCGCTTTCACTGAAATCACTGAACACAAGGATCGCTCTTAGCCCTGGGAGAAGCCCATATCAATATGGAAGAGAAAAACACACTAAGCCACATGGACCAATTCACTTCAGCTGAATAACTGATCAGATTAGTTAGCCGTCAGCCAGCACAGAGAATCTGGACTTCAGGATATTGTCCAGATTTTGAGGACCTGACAGACTGAGAATCACTAAAAGCTGGACTTTCAGTGATGGGGGGAAGGTATGGTCTGTGCAAATCATGTAGTAGCTGATATTTATTAAAAGCTTAGAACGTGCAAGTCCTGGTTCTAAGGGATTCACATGTCTGACCTCAATCCTTAAAGCAGCCCTATGCGTGGGAACTATTACGATCCCCCCTTTACAGATGAAGAAAATGATTCCCCAAACATTTCAGGTCTCGGCCAAACTTACCCAGCTAGCTAGGATCCAACCCCATGCCATCTGGCTCCGTGTGGTGACTTTAACTACCACTCCATACTTCTCCTGAAAAACCAAGGGCTGCCAGAGAGAAATTTAACCTAGTAGATTAAACAAATCGATTAATCGAATCAACATTTGCTTTATCTGTGATTGAGGAATGACATGGACAGAAGCCTGTAGATGTGGATTTAGACAGTAGCGTAGAATGGCATCGGAGTGAGCTCTCTGAACCCTGTTGGTAAAATTACACCACGGTACGTCTCTATCGATAGCTTATATCTGTTATCGTCTCAGAAGTTTATAAAATGCCATTTTGTCTAAGGTTCTCTTCCCTTGAAATCAGCGACAACGGAGCTTGTTTTAGTTCCTACAGATTTAAACCTGGAGGAGCCACATACCTTGACTAGTTTTCTGGAAAGAGTTGTTAATTTTTTCATAGGACTTTGGGTGTATTTCACCGTGATGACTGGAGCCAATGCGAAAAATATCTTAATCCTTTTAGCCAGCTCTGGATTTGTAGAGAATGCTATGAAAGCTGGAAGGGAAGAAGACACTAGTTTATAGGTTTCGAACAAGTCTTCATTCATCGTACATGATAGCAAAAGTAGTCCTATTAAAAAGAACAACAACAGGAACTGAAAAAAACAACAACAACAACTTAGAGTAAGTACCATCTGTAGGAAGAATTCTCTAAACTTCTCAAGGGTGGAATTGACTAATTCAAAATACAGTGACTTTCCTGTCCCTGGAGAATTTAAGTCTACTGGTAGAGAGTGTTGCAGAAAGGGTTCAAACACCCACTGTGGGGCATACCTAGGTAAACCCTGAGGGCCATTCTCCTTTGGCCACGCTCCTTAATACTAGACGACATTGGGCTATGATTGTGGCTTCCCATTCAGTAGATGCGTGGAGATTTGAGCACGTTACCTCCCCACGCAAGTCTCCGCTTTCCCAACCTGCAAATGTGGAAAACAGGATCCTTCGCGGATGAATCTTTTGAAGGTTAAATTATGTATGCATAAAACTGTTCAATTACGTATGCATAAAAATTACGTATGCAAAAAACGTATGCATATTATTTGGCATTCTCACCATTAGAAAGGATTTCCAAATTCAGCCGTTTGTAACACACGGATGATAGCGATCTCAAATGTTTGTAGGTCGCATGAGAGGTGTGGGGAAGATGCATCGCCTCGCACGGGCGTGGAAAGACCTACTTTACGCCAGAAACTTGATTAGGATCCAGATACAGAAAAGAGCCTGGTGGAATTGGTGTTGGTATTGTTGAGGCGTCTAGCTAATGGGGATCAGGGAAGGGAGCGAGGTGCCTCGTGGCATTGCCCACACGGCCTCAGTGCCTCTCGGAACTGCAAAAAACACTGATGGTGACATTTCATCCCCACGATCTGTAATTCTCTGCTTTCTTTTTGGTGTCATTAGACTGCAAGCTCTTTAAGGGAAAGATGCGTATGATTTTTGTCTCTACCTCCCCAGCATCTAAACCGGTGTGACAAATGTGTGTGGTATACACAAATGAATAATTCTCTCTCCCTGGGGCTTAGCTATCAATCTCCAACAATCTCCAAATTCAACGAGGGGAGGGGGGGCAGCCTGTGTGTGTGTGTGTGTGTGTGTGTGTGTGTGTGTGTGTGTGTATCCCTGTTGTCATCCTTGTTTTAGTTACTTCAGAAACCAGCCAGAGGGTTTCCCAGGTCGAGTCCACAAGCTAGAGACACTGCGCAGAGGGAGGTAGCCCTGACCCCTTCCATGAACACAGAAGGTCCTCTGACACTCTCAGGTCACCCCTGCCCAAACACACCGATGGTGGTGCCTTGGGAGTGGCCCACGTAGTAGAGTCGCTCTTGTCCCGTTTTCTCTGCAATAAAATTGATTGTGGCTGGAAGGTCGTAGTTAGCCATCTCATCCAAACTGCCAAAGAGAAAGAACAACAAAATTGGAGAAAAAGCACCTCATTGTCAGGCCTACAGTGTTCGAACACCTTTCCTGCAGCCACAGATACTTGGCATTGCCCAAGTATCTTGTCGATTTAAGAGTGGAGTCAATATATAGCATTAGGCATCTCTGCAACTTCTGAGGATGTCACCTTGATTGCAAGAGTAACAGGGTTAAGAAACCAGAGTCAGAAAAATCTGCTTTGCAGAGGCCTACAGAGGATCTTCCTGTAAGGCTGGTCATGTTTCAGCTCACTCTACGGCAGATTTACCAAACTCCCTTGAAAAGAACAATTCCTGGAATGCCTACGTTGTAAACAGAATAAAGCAAGTAGATTTGTAGACCTCAGCCTGGACAGACTGCCTCGGAATTTCCAGGGAAGAGGCCTGGTGATCTGCACGTTTTCACAGGGCCTCTTTTCCTGTGCAGAGTTGGGAAAACGCTCCCCTAGGGCATATCCTCATGCTGTCTGTCTGTCATCACCCGTGACACAACAGCACTGGGGTGTGGAGTCAGGAAATGCCATGTGGCTTCTAAGAATGAAACCAAGGAACAAATGACTTCAGGGAACTTCAAGGCAGGCTTCTTAGCTCCTGTGTCAGCACGGGCCTTCCTGCTGTAATGAAGCAGCCGTGCCCCAGGGGCACTGCTCCTCAGTCATTCTGTGGTCAGGTTTTCTCTTTCTTTCCCCGGGACCTGGCTCCAGGGACGCTTCAGCCCCGCCAGCCTATGGTTTGTTCACTACGGAGTGAGTCAACATTTAAAATACCATCTGCGCAAACTCACTCTAGGCTCCCTCTTGGCTTATCAGGGATGTCTGGCTCCCAGAATTTTCGCCCAGAATCTTGTTTCTGGTCCCATTTCTCGATTGGTTTCCTTTTTCCTCTTTAGTAAGCACACCTTGTAACCTTCCTTTGGGGTCCACACTGACAAAGTGAGAGTCCTGGAGGTAACCTTTCTAAAGATGACCTTTGCGTTTTGATTTTTTTTTGCATATATACCTTGCACACACACGCCCTCCAGACACCAACACATGGGCTTTTTATTTCTTTTACTTATTAAAATTTTTTTTAATTTTTAAATTTTAAAGCTGGCTTTAAATTGAAGCTGGCTCCAGGCTCTGAGCTGTCAGCACAGAGCCCAACGCGGAGCTTGAACTCATGAGACATGAGATCATGACCTGAACGGAAGTCAGATGCTTAAATGACTGAGCTACCCAGGTGCCCCAACAAGTGGGATTTTTAAAACAAACATCAGTGCAATGAATAAGGACACTTTCTTCAGAGCCTGGGTAGAGGAAGATACGTTTGTTTCTTTCTTGAGTATTCCACTGGGTGTATTTGCACAGTAAGGGAAAAATCAAAGGGTGTTGGTCCATATAAATGAACAAAGCAGGGGCACCTGGGTAGCTCGCTTGGTTGAGCGTCTGACTCTTGGTTTCAGCTCAGGTCATGATCTTGTGGTTTGTGAGATCAAGCCCCACATTGGGCTCTGCGCTGACAGCACGGAGCCTGCTTGGGATTCTCCTTCTCCCTCTCTCTGCCCTTCCCCTGCTTGTGCTCTCTCTCTCTGTCTCTCTCAAAATAAATACACATTAAAAAAACAGATAAATGAACAAAGTACACACTTCATCAGTACGTATCTCTTTACCTGAAGGCCCAGAATTCTCGTGATTTGGGTGAAAATTTCAAGTGTTTTCTGGACCAGGTGTTTCCCCGGCTGTTCCCCAGCCACACGTCATAACCGATATCTGCCAGAAGGAAAGCCAAGCTGTTGTTCGGAAGGTTGCAAATCCAGTTACTGGCAGACGCAATTAACCCGTGTTGCAAATACACGACAGGCTTTGGAGCTGCAAGACAGGGGCGACAAGAATTTCATGTCTGAACCCTCCGAGCATCTATCGGAAAATTCTGTTCCTGACTTCCTCTGATATAGGACAGAGGTTAAGGGATGAAATGTGGCACTGGGTAAACCTGGGTTCTAGTCTTTTATGAACTACTTACTTGGGCAAATTATTTATCCTCTCGTGTCTTGTTTTCCTCCTTGTAAAATTTTGATTTAAATAATGTATTGTGTTGTTCCATAGGTGCTGGAGTCAGGCTGTTCTTGCTTAGAATCTATTCCTCCCAGCACTAACCCCTTTGTGCCTCAGTTAACTGATCTGTATAATGGGCAACAGTAACAAATGCTATCTCATAGTAGAGTCACAGGAATTAAATTAGGATAAAAATACATAAGAGACTGTCCAACACAATAAATCATTTCCCCTATTATTATTATTATTATTATTTCTACGAATAACATTTTATTTCTCAAGGAGTCTCTGATTAGAAAACTAAATTTTTCTCAAAATAATAACAGAAACAATAAACATGCCAATTTTGAATATTGACGAGTGCCAGGCCCTAGGCTAGATTTTACACACAACCGCATCGTTTCATTTACATCGTCGGGAAGCAAAATGCAGAGATGTTCAGTGAAATGTTATGTGACGTAAAGTTGTTAACTTGATATAAAAGTCCTGCTCACAATGTAGAATTGGAGCAGCTTGACTGAGGAGAAAAGAAAAGGAGGAGGTAGGGAGGTGGTGTTGAGACACAGAGAGTAGAGAGAGAAGGGACTGCCATGTTCCCGGCTTTTACAAATGGTTTGTGGTCCTGTGCTAGTACCCACGACCCCCTGAGCTCACTGTGGGGCTAGCCCAGCTTCCCGAGATCGGACAGGCTACACTGGGAGATACTCTGGAAGAGGCTCTGGCCACCACGACCCAAGGAACCGAAGTCTATGTCCATTCAATCAAACTTTCCAGGGAATGGAAAGAAGAGGTGTTACTAATTCTCCTAAATCATTGCCAAAGAGCAGTCAGAGGCCGTAGGCCCTCTCTGATCTGAGCCCCCACAGCTTCTCATCGTACAGACAACCGTCCAGCTCACGCGTCTTGGCAGCTACCTTGCCTGGCAGAACAGAAATCGAGTTTGGGCAGACAGTGTTCTCACGAGTGTTTACAAAGGTCATGGAGTTTTCTGGGGGCTGGCGGTTGGTTCTATAAAGTCAACAACATCTCCCTCTGGTTTTGAAAATCTAGATTTTCTCTTCACATGATTAAGGATTGTGATACCGGGAGGTTTTGTTATACAACACCCCCAAAGTATCGAAGGAGCTAAGAAATGAGAGAAGAAAGCAAATAGTGGCTTTGCCAAGTGACTTCCTCTTTCCTCTACAGGGATCCATCTTGATTGTAGGGAACTAGAAATGGGTGTTTAATTAAGTTTAAGTATAGTACGAATAGGGTCAGACTTGCTTTAAAAATTTTTTAATATAGGGGCGCCTGGGTGGCGCAGTCGGTTAAGCGTCCGACTTCAGCCAGGTCACGATCTCGCGGTCCGTGAGTTCGAGCCCCGCGTCAGGCTCTGGGCTGATGGTTCGGAGCCTGGAGCCTGGAGCCT